GGAACGTTGGGGACAGGTACTCGGCGCGCGAGCCGTAGCGCAGGAAATGCGTGAAGAACGGCGCGTCCCGCGAGGGCACTTTGGAGAGATAGTCATGTCGCAGTGCACTGATGGAAAGCACTAGCATCTTAGGCGGCTGTCGTCCGACCTGGAACCACACAAACACGCCCGTACACACGACCACATAGAGCAGGATGACCAGCACCATGTTTCGGCCGCGCCGCGACAGCCATTCGTCGTTCTGGTGGTCCTTTTCGGTTCCCTCGAACACGGATCGGTGCGACGGCACTGGCTCGTCCTCGGTCCGCCGCTGGCGCACGGTACGGTCCATGGTGGAGCGATGACGGCGGCGGCGGCGGCGGCGGGAGGGAGACTGGCCGCCCGCCGCCGCCGCCGCCGCCGCCGCCGCCGAGCGGTGGTGACCGGTCGGACCGGCAGGGGATGAGCCGCGGCCGGTCGCCCGACGAGCCGCTTTCCAGGCGCGGCAAAAAGCTGCATGTCGGCTAGCGGCGTGGTGTGGTTGGCGGCGGCGAGGAGGGCGCCAGGTCAGCCACGTCAGCTGGGCCCGTGCTACTGACCCCCGAGGAGGAACTGGTACTGGGGTGTCGGCCTCACGTTTGAAATGGGATGGCATTCGCCTGTCGCCGACGATCTTTTTTGTGACTTATGACAGTGTCCGGATACCACATCAGACACACCTGCCTACGCTGTTCATTCATTACGTCTGGAAAATGATGACATCGGCACTGGACAGTGAACTTCTATTTTGTGTAGGTCCTCAAATTCAAGTTCTTTCTTGGTTTTGAAGTTGGCTGTATTACAAAATCATGAAGTGTATTGGAAAATAACCAGTGGCGGATCCAGGGGGGGGGGGGGGCAAAATGGGCATTTGCCCCCCCCCCAAATGGCATGATTTTAACATTACGCCTATGGGCGATGCATGGAAAGAATCGATAAATTTTTATGGTTTGCCCCCCCCCCCAAACCTCTGAGCTGGATCCGCCTCTGAAAATAACGACAAAATGAAAGTCAAATTTATCGAAAATTTAACAAGGGGAGTGTGGTGTTGCCGCGTGATAACGAGATTACCTAGATGACGTCATTTATGTTTCGGTGTTCATTCTTACATGATGGGTATGTTTTTATTATCTCCATCATTTTTCGGTCGTTATAGTTATTTACATTTAGCACCTTAATCTGAACAACCTGTCTGTAGCCTGAAAAGTTGTTCCTTGACCGCGTTCCTGTCAGGCTCAGCTTCGCTCGTGGTCACTCAAATCCAAATCTCACTGGTATTTCGCAATACCCTCTAAGTAACCGCAATTGTGAGCTGAACCTTTTGGCACCGGAGATGCCGTTTGATGCCATGTCCGGTCGGCCATCGCAGCTGAGGACGCCCAGTGAAAGTCGCCGTGGCATCGTCTCGGCCAGTGTCATCTGACCGCCGTCGGAGGGAGATGCGGCGGAGTATGGCCGGCCGTAAATTTGACCGGTCAGCCGGGTGATGTCGTAACTAGTCCCATGACCTTGTCACCCCTTTAGTGGGTTACGGGGGATTATCGTCTTTGGGCATGCTCAGCTCAGCTCAGAACGACTGACTGAATATTTTTTATTGATGTGTTCATTTGGTGGTCATTTGTTGGTCGTGAGAGATGATTGCCAATGGTCGACTGTAATCCCTTGTTTATTACATAAGCCGTGTTTTCTTATTTCACCATCACAGTGCATCGATGGAATTTCTCCGCGATTTTACATCATCAGTGCGTGCAGTGCTCAGCACCGTGCAACGCTGTTTTCCAGTTCGTGCCACCCCCTCTGCATCTACAGCAGACAGCAGAAGGCGTGCATTTGCATAGTTTCTCCGCGATTGGCCGCCCTGTTGCGTGTCCCTCCCCCCCCCCCCCCGCCCTGACCTCAGGAGCCGGTCGTATTGGGCGAGACTCGGCGGGGCTCCCTCTGAGCCGCACTGATAGCGCCAGTCTGCAGGGCCGGTCCGGTGGGTTGCATTAGACCAGTGAGCTTAAACTTGTTTGGTGACCGGCATCGGGATCGTGCTTTACTGATATAGCTTCTATTGCAATAGAAACATTTGTCTCGTCGGGATGCAATGGCTATCGCAACTAGACTGGTTAGACCAGATCGCTTCGAACGATTGGTCTTGAACCGGATAGCTGTTTGCATTGTCACATCGTTTCTATTTGATCAGAAAGTGGCTTACTGATGATTATTCTTGCAGCCGTTGCTTAAGCCTGAGGAACTTTCGGCATCGCAAGAATTAGTTTCATCTCGAGGTCCAGTCTCATCATACCCCGGTCCCCTTCCGTGAATCTACTCACATATGCATTTAATTGCGTACTTTTTACGCTGACTTCTCCAGCCAACATTGGTGTAATCTTCATATAAGAAGTTTTGTGGATACATTGGATGGTTACGTGTGTGGTTTTTGTGTTCATATGTACTTAAACCGTTGTTATATGTAAAATGTCGTGATAAGTGAGACACACCCTAGCAAGGTGTGTCCGATTACAACTTACTTGTACCTCATCAGGATTCCAGAGACGACAGAGACGACCATTGAGAACACTTGACTCCGGTCCTCGTGTGTGCAGTAAAATATCCAGCCCACCACCGGATCGGTTACTCGGGAGATTCTGTCAGTCTTCTCTTTTGCGGTAGAGGTGATCTACCAAACACGAGGATCCAAGGCAGAGGTCATCTGTTCCCATTCAACGGTCACTCTTCAACCTGCCCCGGCAGTGCCCAACCAACCCCTCTACCCGTTGTCATTGATTGACACTTCTTATGGTCCTGATAGTGTCTAACTAACCCCGCCGTTCTCTCTATTTCCAGAGATCGCCGATGGCGTGGTGCCGCGCCACCGTTTCATGTCGGCCTACGAGCAGAAGATCGAGCCGCCCGACCGCAAGTGGCAGTACCTGCTGTTCGCCGCAGAGCCCTACGAGACCATCGCGTTCAAGGTATGTGTCGACGTCGGAGTGGCTTGTCTTAGGCTCAGAGATGGCGGGATGGGTGGCCTTGTTGCGAAATGAGGTTTGACTCGAATGTGGAGGAACGGTGGCCTAGAGGTTTGAAAGTGCTGTACTGGTTTAGGAGGAATTTTATGTGTTGAAAACATTAACGGGATTATAACTATTGATGCTCCGTACTGCTGATGCTGATGATTCCTTCATCTAATTACTCTTTGCGGCGTCATGTACCTATTGCTTGGATTACGGAAAGTTTGAGATAAGCTAAATCTACATGAACTTGAATACTGCAATGTCAGCAAAATGTTATTTTTCATCGTACCTGTACCGATGACTTACATGGAATAACCTGTCCAGTTTGGCGTGTTTGTTTGACTTTGTTGAAAATCGCCGCAAGTGACTGTGTCTGTGATTCGCCAGGTGCCCAGTCGGGAGGTAGAGAAGTCGGAGGAGAAGTTCTGGACGCTCTGGAACAAGGACACCAAGCAGTTCTTCCTGCAGTTCGCCTACAAACTGGAGCCGAAGCCGGTGCGGCCGCCCGGCCCGCCGCCGACCATCCCGCCACCGCCGCGGCCGAACCTGGTGCCGCCGCCGCCGCCCAGGCCGCCCATGATGCCGCCCCGGCCGCCGCCGCCGCCGGGTATCGGAGGCCCGATGCCGCGGCCGCCCGGGCCGCCGCCCATGATCCCGCCGCCGGGACCGCCGCCGCCGCACGGGCCGCCCGCGCCGCCTGGCACCCTCCGCCCGCCGGGGCCGCCACCACCGCCGGGTGTACCGACCAGTCGGCCGCCGGCACCGCCCGGCCTGCCCATGGGCCGACCGCCCGCACCGCCCGGGGTTCCGCCGCCGCCGGCACCGCCCGGCCTGCCGCCCATACCGCCCCCGCCCGGCGTGCCGCCGCCGCCCAAACTGACCGAGCCTGGCCTGCCGCCGCCGCCGCCCAAAATCTCGTAGGGGGTCTTGGGAGACAGTGGAGACCTCAGGAGGCAGCGCTCGACCGTGTGCAGATGACTCCGGGTGGAAACAGTACAGCTCTGGGTTAGTATCTCGCAACACATTTCGTGGATAGTAGAAAACACATTTTTCTCTGTAGCATATGTGAACATCTGAAATGTTCATCTCAACCATCTTTGATGCTACATCCATTTTCTGTAAACGATAATTCGGTTTTCCGTATCACCAATACACATCAGATGATAGTCGGTGTTTATCTACCCGAATGCTTGTTGATAAGAGTAAGACCAGATTACAAAGCAATAGTGTGCACTGTGCAGTGATTGAACGAACTTGGGTAGAATCATATTTAGCGTTTAAACAGCAACGGAGCATGACAGTAATATGCGAAATACCGGTTTGTTATTTAGCATTTTTTTCTGCGGCAGTTTCGATTTTTGCATATCGTGCCAATTGGTCACTACCATCTCGGATCAAGTCAATGGAGGTCCTGTGCTCAAGACATCGGCCATGAGCTTGTTCCATAGACACTGTCCTCCACGAACGAACTTCTACGTTTTCCAATGCTTGCAAGGTATATATTCTTGAAAACGAATATTCTAAATTTCTTACCCTTTATTCCCAGCATACAAAAGTAATAGAAACTACTAGGCTGGTAATGTAAAGAGTAGTCTTGAGACAGTTGCTGGTGCCTGTTTGGGCGGTGCCTTGTCAGACGTTATCCACGATATGGAGCATTGCAGTTTGCATAGTATGATGTTGTTATGCTCAATATAAATTGGATTCATTCAACCCATTGAAGAAATGATTTACATGGCTTCACTGAATGTGTCCTGAAATAGGCGCTGTGTGCTATATGAATGCTAACAGGGTAAATATTTAATTTGGTAACAGCGGCTCTTTCCTCGCCGGCGCAGTAGTGACAATCAAGATATGGAAATTTTGTTCATTAGCAGATAGTTGCGTGACGCTAACGTTGAATTGCAAATCAAAAATTGCTGTTTTGCATCGCGAACACGATCAAGGAAATGCAATTTCCTTTTGAACAGCTTTGAAGAAACTGCTACGAGACATTGGGCTTATCCAAGGCTATTAGCTTATCCTTTCAGTGCTTATTTTCAGTGTATTACAGAGGCTACTTGGGTAAAGACATTCTAGATAGTTTTTGAAAAAGTGTGGACAGATTATAAATTGATGTGCATCAGCTTGACATCCTGCAACCTCTAAAGCGCTAGATTGGAATACTTAAGTACGTTGATGGAATGACGAGACCAATGATGGAATGGAATGGGATGACCAACAAATTCTGAAACGTGTTGTTACAAGTTTGTGTAAATTTAGCATGACTGCTTGAATGGACAGCTTCACCCAATTTTGATTGGCACACAGCTTGAAGTTGTTTGGTTACAGTATTTGTTAGTAGGCTAGGCTGTGCGCTTACTAGCAGTTATGTTCCGGCTCCTCATTCATCAAACTCATGGCTGATGTCAACGCCGACCAAGAGTAAGAAACGCTAACAGTCAACACGCAAACGTCACGTGTAAATTTCATGAACCTTGAGCAAATCGCCCCAGGCGCCCTGTTTTCACCGTCGTCCCATTTCCCTCAGGATCATTGCCATCAACCATTAGTTTTTATTTTTCATGCATTGTCATTACCAGGGCCCTGTTTCACCGGTGATAGCAGCACGCTACTATCAAATTGCGCATGCTGACGTAATGTGATGATGTCACTCTAATGACGTTTCGTGTAATCCGTGAGCTGCGTTTGGAACAGAGTTGCTGGCTCGTTGAATTGCGTTTGATACATTTGTTTGATCGCACGGCCGTGAAGATGTTAGCAGCAATATTTGATGACATCTCACAGATTGACGGCGTCATGGTTTGTTGATGTTTCCATGGAAACCCAATTTGACACGTGTAATAGCAGCGTGCTGCTGTCACCGGTGAAACAGGGCCCTGATAACCAATCAAGTATCAACTACTTCTCAGGAATAATGATTTACTATGTTACCTAGATAGCTCATTGTGTTTCTGATGTGTGTTTAAGCTATTGTTTGTTTGTCCTCAGGCCACCATGTCGACTCGCTTGTATCCTCTATACCAGCGGGGTAACCCCCAGCTAAGGATATTCCTTCCAAACTTCTGGATGAAACTGCTGAAGCCGACCCATCCGATTCCGCCAAATGCTGTGCAGTTCATGGTGTCACCAGAGATGACAAAACATGATGTAAAGCAATACTTGGAGAAAATCTACAATGTACCGGTAGTGGAAGTTAACATCGCCAATAAAATGGGTATGTAAACACTAAACAGTAAAGGTACAGGTATTGAAGATATGTTTTAGGAGCGGCAGCTGTTGCTTGTTGACTTGGCGGTGATTTTTCATGGGAATCAGATTTTTTAATTATTGAGGCAGGTTATATTTTGTGTGTTACAGCTCATAGCAGTTGGAAAAGGATGATGTATGAGTACCGTAAAGTGGGGCTATTTGAGACAGTGGGGCTATTTGAGACAGTATTTAAAATCGCTGTAAAATGAAGATCGTTTGATTTTTGTGTGATATTTTTGCTCAGGGAGGTGTGGAATCGAGCAGTAAATCTCCTGAGCAAAAAAGTAAGCATAAATTTTAAGTGGTCTTTATTGTATAGCAATTTTAAATACTGTCTCAAATAGCCCCACCGTCTCAAATAGCCCCACCTTACGGTATGACATGTATTTTTAAGGCATGTTCGTATGTTCAAGTCCGATCGAAATTGCCGATTTTTATAAGTTATTGATGCAACATAGCGCTGATCGCATCGTTATTTATTTCAGGAAAATTACGAAGAACCGATAAAGGCTACATCGTCAAAGATGACGATCTGAAGTATGCCTTCGTCACACTGGTAAGGGGTTAGCATGGCCTTCATCGACCGATTGGCTATCCTCGATGCCAATCTTCAGTTACCTACACTTTCCTTTTTCTGTTTTCATGTCGCCATAGGCTTTGCTCATGACTGTTCTGTTTTCACAAGTCTTTCAGATTGTTGTTTGCCGATCGTTTTATGGTTATCGTTACATTTCCTCATATAACTATCGAGGAATTATGCATAGGAATTGCCTATAGACTCATAGAGGTTTTATGCTCGTGCTTACCCATCGGCCTGTGTGCGCTTCAGCCGAAGGACATGACGTTCGAGTTCCCGAACCTGATGTCTGAAGAGAAGAAGCAGGAGCGATCTGATCAGATGAAGGAGATCGAGCGCGTCAAGGACACCTACAAGAAGGACCAGGACCGGTTCAAAGACAGACCAGGAGTGCCCACCTGGTTCAACTAGTCATTAGCAGAGTGCATTGTATGAATCACTGAAATCGTGTGTCCATTGGGTTTGGTATGTGTATGCGGGAGGAGGGGGGGGGGGGGGAGTACGTTTATGTGCTGGATGATTGTCATTATCGTGCGCTATGTGGGTCTTGGTGCATTGTTATGAATATTAAACTGTTTTGTACCATACGTTTGTGATATATGTTCAGGAAACCTAAGGTAGTCGACTTAAGATGCAAAGAAAGGCAAAGGACTTGTCCATTAAAAACGACCGCCTGACAAACTGCGTCCCTACGAGTTATCTACTAGGGTTGACTATTAAGTAATGGAAGTGCCTTAAGCAATTAAACGGGTTTGCACGTGCACACATTATTTAGGTGTCATTTCATGCGCCGATCTTTTTTCTATCCAATGGTGAAGACCACATGTCCCTAGCTACTTTTTGCTATAAGCTATCGTCGTTTTCCCAAGAGACCTCCCGAACCTGTGGCGCACCACCTGGCAATGGCCAAAGCCGCGCGCCAGCGCCGATTGCAAGGTCATTAGAGCTCAGTTTGTCGTAGGGAAAAGGCCTACCAATATCAGAAAATTTATTTTCTAAGTGTATGGAGCGACGCAGCCTCCCCACAGACGATATGTCGGTGGTTTCATCGGTTTGAGAAAGAAAGCGCCGATCACTCTTCTGTCGGCGTTCCAGGAGTGGGTCAAGACGAGGCTGGAATGGTGTGTGATGCTTGAAGGCGATTATGTGGAGTAGTGTATGCTGTCATTTATCGTGCCAATGTGTATTATTTTGATGAAAATATAGAAATTGTCCATTGTGTAGCTATAACAATAAGCCAATAAGCTCTGATGACCTCGCGCTGGCGCTTGGTGCGCGATTTTGGCCATTGCCAGACTCCTTTGTCATGGTGCGCCGCAGGTTCGGGTGGTCTCTTGGGAAAACGACGATAACTTGGAGCAAGAAGTAGCTAAGGACATGTGGTCTTCACCATTGGATAGAAAAAACATCGGCGCATGAAATGACACCAAGAAAGCATGTGCACGTGCAAAAACGTTTAATTGCTTAACCCGCGACCTGGTGGGGGGGGGGCTATTTTTTGCCCCCCCTCCAGACTTTTCGATATATCTCCAGAACCACTGCGCCGATCGTCACCAAACTTTCAGTACCCTCCCGGATATCAATTTTACACATTGTGACCAAAAATTTTTCCAAAGGCTATGATAGGTTGGCCGGAAATGACGTCAGAGTGACGTCATGTTCTGCCGTTTTCGACCCAAAAAAGGGTTTCGCGGGAAGAGCTGTCAGGCCTATAGCTTTGCAAATACAGAAAAATGATACAGACATAAAAGCTGTAGAATGGACAGGGCTACAAAACTGCTATCTCGGATTTTTGAAATTTTTGGATTTGGACCCCCAAAAATCAAAAAATAGATTTTTTGAATAAAATAGCCAAAAAATCCAAAAAGTTTTTTGAATTTCGAAAAAACCGGAATATATGTGATAATGCTTACCGCCTTCTATCTACATACCAAATTTGAGATCGATACCTCTTTTTTTGGCCAAGTTATAGCGAAAAAAACTGTTCAAAATTGATGACGTCAAATTTTCAAACCCAATTTTCAGCAATTCTAGACCTCGTAGCGCAAAACAAAGACCACCATTAGACTCCCCGTGAGGAGCTGCATCGAATCAATACCCATTTTATGCAAAAATATCAACTTTGAAATTTGACCTTTTTTGACCTGACCTTGACCTGACCTCCACCAGAAAGTGACCTAAACCGTACCTGATGGTCTTATAACCAACACCATTGAGTTGGAAATGAAAAACTGGCCATAAAACATGCATCGCATAACCTTAGTAAAGTTGGGTTCATGTGGTGACCCTTGGTGACCTTTGGTGACCTGACCTGTGACCTGACCTGGTATGACCAGTGACCTCTAACAGCAACATATCTACTAGGCAACTGACGCCTTATCGCTGATTCCCGACAAAATGCGTTTTCCTCGGTGTTATAGCGCATTCCCTAGAAGACCCGTGAACGGTGAAACATTTCATCTTTGACCTGACCTGTGACGTCATCGGTGACCCTGAGGTCAATAAAATTTGGTTTCCCTAAACAAATTTGACAGGCCTTTCGAACGCCGTTTGAATTTTTCGGATCCGTCCAGTAGTTTCGGAGATACGAGGGGGGGCAAAAAATAGCCCCCCCCCCACCAGGTCGCGTTATAAACAGACCCCACCAGGGCGCGGGTTAAGGCACTTCCATTACTTAATAGTCAACCGTAGTTTCCTAACAACCAAACATACTACCTACAACCTCTAACAACCAAACATACTACATACAACCTCTACCACCTTGATTGATTCGTCACATTCCTCGATCCTCCGACCGCTTTCTTTACACGGTCAGCACACAGCCACATTGCTTCACCCACTCGGAGCTACCCGGACCATTGACCAGACACCGCCTCACCTACCCTGACCCATCCCACAAGACATGACCAAGCACTGCCACGCCCACCCGGTTTCGAACTCGGCTCGCCCAGTCTGCAGACTGATGCCCTACCACCAGACATGACCAAGCACTGCCACGCCCACCCGGTTTCGAACTCGGCTCGCCCAGTCTGCAGACTGATGCCCTACCACCCTTCCACTCCAGCCCCCACCTCCACGGACCGTCAGAATCTAGTCTTTTATCTTTGATTAAGCGCCCACTTAAACGCTGGCGAATCCGCTGGTCTGATTTGAATACCAGTCGAGAACCGCGGCAGCCCAGTCCCCAGTCCCCAATGTTGGACACTTTTCTCCGAACACGATTCAAACACATTATGTCGCAAGCAGCCGCAACTTAACATTGGAAATATTTCTCAAGCATATATTCACCAAGAACTCTTCATCATATCACTGCAGGCGCACCCGCCTGTTACGCTACTAAGCGACGCTCTCTCGCTCGCGTATTGCATTGATACGGCTTCACAAACTGCCAAGGGGCGGGGATCAGATAGGTGAAAAGGAAGACCACGGTGTTACGGAAATGGCTAAGACAGAGGGGTCACAAACATAAAATGGATGACAGGAGATTAAAATAGAAGATAGATCATAGAAGAGATGCCAAAGCAAAGCAACCCAGTTGAATGGACCCAGTTGAGATAAACTGAAGCAAATCGTTAGACAGACACAGACACTAGCACTATCAGTGAGTTACATCCGACCACCGGTCAGCACACAGACATATAGACTATGGAACGCTATGGGTTGAGCTGAGGATCCCGTTGTGCAACACACAACTGGTCGATCAAATAATACCGGCTGACCCATGAAATCCTAGTCAGTCGCTGCATTATTCCCACATACATCGGTATCGACCGCTGTGACATAGCCAACACATTTGTGGTGGTCTTTGAACTAGAACCAGCAAGGCTGTGCACTGTCTGCAGGCTAAGTACAACCAATAGTGGTATACCAATGCACCCGGTACGCACAATGGCAACTTTCGAGCCCAAAAGCACCCATCTTTTGGGACCCTCGCCTGGACTACACTTCCGCACTAGTCACAACACTCCAAAGTCCAAACAAGCTTTGGTGCTCTCCCAGGCGCTACCTTCCCTTCTCACAAACCCAAGCTTTTCTTTCGGCGAACATCATTCGGCAAGACATTAGACGACATCTTAACGCGGCCCAGCTCACATGCCGTTGTAGGAGGGTCCGCCGCCACTCTCGGGCGTCACCCAGTTGATGTTCTGGCTGGGGTCCTTGATGTCGCACGTCTTGCAGTGGATGCAGTTCTGGGCGTTGATCTGCAGTCGCTGGCCCTGGTCGTCCTCCGTGGGCACGTACTCGTACACGCCTGTCGATGGAATAGACGTCAGGCGGGCTCGGGTAAAACACTCCAGACAGCTCGGCCGTGGTACACAACAACTACATTCAGCCGTATGAACAATGACGGACGAACACGCGTACAAGAGCCAGGATCATTATATTAGAGACAAACTACGAACGTATCGCTCTTATAAATCGAGGCCAATAAATAACTGCGAGAGGTAAAATATGAAGAAACATGGGTCATGGGACACTAACTAAATATTTAAACATGTCTTGGTTACTTCAGAGCATTACTACACCATGCGACACGTCACATTACAAATGAAATAAAAGTGAACTCATATCACAGTACGTCTTTCAGTAGCGCCGTGTGCACTGACCTGCCGGACAGAAGCGCGCCTCGGGTCCGTCGAACACGCCCAGGTTCTGTTTGACCGGGGAGGTGTCGTCCCTCAGAGTCAGGTGCGGCGGCTGATCACCCTCGTGGTTTGTACCTGCCGGTAACGAGGACAGTCAGTCATAGGTCGTGCCTGGGGACAGTCCCAAGGTTGGCTGTGCCAACTGCGACACATGCACACCATATAAAACACGGACTTTCGGAGTGCCGCCATATGCAAAAAAAGAATTCAGACATGGTTAACAACATAGAGCCAACCTTTCGAAGCTATGGGAAGTTCAAGGAGGATGACCGAGGCGAAGTGCACCAACTTACATCAATATCGACGCCATTGCTCACGTTACCATAGCGAGCAACTATGTAGATGACGTTGCAGTTCATTAACACATACAACCATGGCGGGCAACGACTCGTGAGAGTGCCAAATTCGTCCTTAACCCGCGCCCTGCTGGGGGGGGGGGGGGGTGTTTGAACACCCCCCCCTTGTGGTTTTTCGCGAATATCTCAAAAACGGCGGCGCGGAGGCCGCCGTTTTTGGTACACCTTATCATAATCAATTCTACACATGTTGTGAAAATTTCAGACCAAGGTCATTCAAGGTCAGGTCACCAGGTCACTTGAAGTGACCTCACCTCATAAAAAGTTTCAATGTCTGTCATAGCTACACCGAGAGACCGATCGCTTTGAAACTTTCAGCGATTGCTAAGAGCAACAGCATGTACAAAATTTTTATCTCAGAATTTTGATATCGATGACCTAAGGTCAGGTCAATTTTGCGACCTCCCCATTATAAGTCAATGAGAGAAAATTGAAATGCGCCTCTTTTGGACGAAAGACATTATAAACACTCCCAAACACCGAACTACAAGTGGTTTAGACACACTGAACATGAAAATGGTGTCCGTGACCCTTGTTTATGCCCTGAGGTCATCTTAGGTCACGAATGGTATCTAACAGTTTTTC